GGGCTGAGGAGTTTTGCCCTTCACCTGGTGGCAGCGGGGAGCTATAGGAGGTTTCAGAGTAGGGGAGGCCTTGGTAAGAGTCGTGATTCAGAAGGAGCGCCCTGGCACTTGGCGTTGAAAGTGGACTGTCTAGCGATGGCTGCTGCATGGGTCCAGAAGAGAAGGTCTGTGTTCCACCCCTGGCAGTGCCCCAGAAGGACAGGGGGTGCATTGGAAGCATAAAATGGCAGGAAAAGTAACTGGTCTTGGCAACTTGGCAACAGATGGAGGAGAGGGAGGGAGACAGAGAAGGGAAGACTGCCCTTGGGACCTAATATGTGCCAGGACAGCTTGCCATCTGACTCCTCACTGATGATCTCAGTAACACGTTGAGGTAAGGTATAGCATCCCCATTTTACAGATGAGCAAACTGAGGCTCAGAGAGGGCAATGTCTTACCCAAACAGAATTCTAGGTTCTTCTGACTCCAAACTCTGAATTCTTTCCGTTGCCTCAAGTATTTTGCTGGCCTATGGGGCCTGCAGGGAACATGCAGGCTGAGCTGCTCTTCCTGGAGCAACTTTTGGTATAAAAGCCTTAGGGCAGCAGGGGAGGGGCTGCCTGGGGGCAGGAGCAGGTACAGATCTGGGATCTAGCTCAAAGGGATAAAGGAGGGAGGAGTCTTCAAAGCCACAAGGACAAGCCAGGGATGTGATAAGAAAATGTGTATCAGACCCACAGGTGTAACCCTGACAGTGCCTGTGAACCCAGCTCCACTCCAGGCAAGCGTCTCCCTCCTCCTGCAAGTTCCCCTATCCTAGTGGGAGGAGTGAGTGGCTATCAAGTCATCAAATTTGAGTGAGGAGCCATCTTCCTGTCTCCTGTCTCCTTTATGGGCACACACAGATACACAAAGTCCCAGTCACTATCACACGGGCTACAATGTATCACATGCTCAGCCACAGACACATGGTCACACAAGCACACGAGCACACACGCACAAGGCCTTGCTCACATATGCTCACACACACACAGTCACACGGAAACAGAGGGCTGTTCCAGGAAGGGCTTTGCCTGTGAATGTCACTCAGGCATGGGATGGTTAGGAAGTGTCCTTGGACGTCTTTATTGCCATTGTCTGTGACAGGAAGTTGCCTCTCTGACTTCTGGGGGCTGCGGGGTGAGAGTGGTGCCATCCGTCCACCGTGAGGTCAGTTCAGGCTTGCCTCTGGGGTAGGGTGACCAGAGGGTGGTCAGGGCAGCCGGTGCTATGGAAGAGACAGCGTGCCCTCGAGAAGAGCAGGCACACCTGGGGCAGATGTGGGTTCCTGCCCTCTTGCCAGCCTCGCTCGCTGGCTTTGACCTTGGGCAAATCACTTCACCTCTCTGAGTTGGCAATGTCCAGTCATAAAAGATAATGACACCAACCTCACAAGGCACCTGGGCATGTTCACTCAGATAATGGCTGTCCAGTGCCAGGCAGGGACCTGGCAAATGTGGCAATAACCATCGTGTTTGTGACAGCCCCAGGAGTTGGTGTACAAGTGGAGACGAGGCCTGCTTCAGCTCAGAGGCAGGGCTGGTGGGGGGGCAAGGGTAGCTGCCCAGTGGCAGGGAGCATGGCTGGCTGGACCACAGGCCTCTCTATGCTTGCAGAAACCATGCCAGCCCGCAGCATTAGCTGGCCCCAGAATAGGAAGGGGCAGAGCCTGAGGAGCCTCAGTATGGGGTTGACAGTGGGCACCTTCTCCCACCTGAGCCCTGGAGCAGGGGAGCCGTAGGCACCAGGGGGCTGGGAAGGCAGCAGGCTTCAGAGGCAGCTCTAGAGTGGGCCCCAGCAGTATGTGGCTGAGAACTAGAGAGTCTCCTTGGCTTCCTCCAGCAAGCTCTGACACAGGAGAGGAGGGGCACAGATTCTAAGGGCTGGCTAGTGGAATCCCTACCTTTCTTTAGGAGCACCCAGCTCTGGGGGCTGCAGAGAAAGGGAGCACAGCCCTAAGTAAGGGTAAAGGAAACCTTCCAAAAGAGGAAAGGTGCACAGCCGGCAGCCCCACCCTCTAGTGGCCACAGGCACTCACTGCAGCCTCATTGCAAAATAGCTTTGGCTTTGTTCTAAGGCCCTCATTCTCTGCCTGGTCGTTCTGGGAACAGGGCCTGAGACAGCACAGTGCGGTGGTGAATGGCGCAGACACTGGAGCTGGATGGCCTAGGTTCAAAACCCCAGCTTTACTGTTGTTATTACTATTATTACCTCTACCACTTACAAGCTGAATGACCTTGGGCAAGGGACTTCATTCCTGTGGTTCTGCAAGATGAAGTTGATAATAACAGTATATACCACACACAGTTATTTCAAAGAGTAAATATAATAATCCACATCAAGTGCTTAGAATAAGTAATATTAAGTAACAGGAACTTTTAATAAAGAGTAGCTGTCCAATTCTGTACTTCTGAGGTTAGCATTGTTTAGGGGGCACTGCAGGAGAGCTGGGGGCTGAAGCCCTGACCTAGGGTTGAATTCTGGTTCTGACACAGTCAATTACCAAGTCTCTGCTTTGCACATGTTGGCTAGTCACATATATTAAGGGAAGAGTCCAAGGAGGTTAAGTTCAAAAATCACTCTTTAAACTCCTTTGGGAAGGCAGCACTTTCGTGGATAAACATGTCTCAATAAGCCCAACCTACCTGGCCAGCTTTTCTAGTTCCTGGTTGAAGTCTGTCTTTGAGCATCAGATGAAGCCGCTGGCTTGAACCCAGGACAATGCTGCACTAAACACGTGTATCTTTATCCACTGGAATCAACTCAGTAATGAGATGCTCACGCAGAAGGTACATGAAAGCAAATACCAGTTATAGACTCAGATTTGAATCTTCCATCTCACACTCAGGGGCACATGTCCATCAGAGTTGGATACTCCACCATCACATTATTCGTTGTGTCTCACCTCTCCAAAGCTGTTTCCTCTTCTGTAAAATGAGGGCAGTAAGAGTACTACATCATCATCAGGCTATTGTGTAGATCAAATAAGACAATATGTGTAGGAATTTTAAATCGCTGCCAGGCAAATGACTTTCTTCATTCTCTTCCCCCAAATTTTCCCTAACTAGCTGTGTGAAACGTGAACACACCCTTCCCTCTCTGGGTCTCAATGTTCTCCAACAACAAAATGTGGGGGGGTTGTGTTAGTTGATTTCTAAGGCCCCTTCCTAAGTTTTTAGGATAGTGCTGTAATTCTAGGGCATTTAATGCAGTCAAACCTTCAATGCATTTGATCTTAGCCAAAAGGCCAAGAAGCGATCAAGCCTTCAATGAATGTTAACTGATGCTTACATGGTTTTTCCAGGACTCCTTTACCCAGCTGATAAGGGTCACGTCTATAAACAGCAGCCCTTTGCACACTGTAATATCTTAAAACCTTGAGAATCATGCATGCATCTTAATCGCCTTATTTCTCATTTGATCAGCAGAAGTATACTTCAGCTGCATCTAAATCAGCAGAAGTGACCACATTTAGTGGTCCCCTTACTACGGTCCTTCAGAGGCACCACGAATGACAAATGCTTACCTGTGATGGGAGTGAAGCACAGCTTTCCTTCCAAGGCACACACACAGACACATGGACACACACACAGAGGACAGTCACTATTCTTGGCTTTGGGAAAATTCTTTTTTAGACAGCAGTGAAGTAAAAGGAAATGAACTCCGGAGTTAGGCCTGGACTGAATTATTCTAGCTCCTCTATTAGCTGTGAGAATTTGGGCAGGTTAACTTTTCTGGGCCTTGTTTCCCTATCTGTGAAACTGCTATAGATGTTTCTGGTAGCACTGTGTGGGTTAAGTTAGAAGCAGCCTGAGGCTTTGGGTAGATCTTGGGATTGATGAAAAGGTCCCCCTTCTAGAGTGGGAGGGACTCCAGGTTAATTTCACTTCCAGCCACATGGCTGGTCTGCCTGTTGCTTGGCCTGTCCGGGCCTGTTTCCACATCAGTGAAGTGGGGACAGCATTTCTCACAGAATTGCTACGCTCAGCTCTTGACCAGCAGCCCGGCACTTCTCCCGCCTCAACCCACAACCCCCACGGTAAGGGAGCTCCCATGGCTTGCTCAAGATGATGGTATAAATGACAATACCTCCTCCCATCTGTCTGGGACCCTTTGAAGACTCAACTTAGCAGCCCATACCTGGAGCCCTTCCTAAACCACTGCCCCAATCCTCAGTATGACCTCATTCCTCACCACCAGAATCTTGCCTTACCAGAGCATACCTTCAGAATAGCCTCCCTGGGCTGGCATTTGCTACCTGTCCTGGGCAAGTCTGTACCCCGTAAAGGCAGGAACTGTGGCTTCCTCATCTCTGGATTTCTCATGAGAGGGTTTGACACAGAGTATGTGCTCAGCAAATGTAAAGCCCCACTTTCACCTTTTGGAAATAGCTCTGGAAAGGCAGTGCTGGGGACAAGACAGGGGGCAAGGGCAGGGGGTAGGGAGAGGGGAATTCCCTCACAGAGTATGAGAGGATTGTGTAAAAAACATGATGCCTGGAATCAAATGACCTGGATTCAAACCTCCGCTCTGTCACCTGCCAACTAAATAATCTAGACAAGTTTCTATACCTCTATCTGAGCTGTTCCCATGTTGGTAAAAGGAGGACCACAGTATCTACTTAGCACAGCACCTGGTTACTGAGTACCAGTATGCTTTATGTCGCATGTGCTGTTCTAAATGTTTAAATGTACTAATTTATGTAAATCCCACTACAAGTCTGGGAGGCAGATACTATCCTCATTGTACTGGCACTGCAAATAAGGAAAATGAGGCCCAGGGAAATCCAGTGACTTCCCCAAGTTCATGGAGCTAATGAGATGCTCACTAAATGGCAGCAATTACTGTTCTCAGGTAGTAATGCAAGGGATACAATCTCAGTGACCCCAAGGACTCTGGGGTCCTGGCTGTGGGGTTTCTGCACCTGGACTAGCTCCATTTTCACTTCTTCAATTGCAGCAAACGACGGAGACCAATCAGTGTTGTAAATAGAGTTAACATAATATATTTATTTTAAGTGCCATTCATGCATATCAGTTCTGGCAGCAACAATCCTAATGACACTTGGAATATTTCTTTACAGCACTAAACAGTTACAAAGAATGGTTGCCGTTCATCATAGAGGCAAAATATGAAATCGTGCAATAGCAAAACTGTAGAAACATTAAAACACTGTCCAACAGCAGTACAGAGAGCAGGTTGTATCTGCACAAAAAGCCAATGCATTTTCATCACATATATACAATATAGATATGTACACATCACCCTCTGAATGAACAATATCAAAATACTCTATTCCATTTGAAATTATCCCCGGATTGATTCCCTCCCACTTCAAAGGACATCTGAGAGACATGTATTTACAAGAACACACATGAATACATTTACATTTCAAAAACTGCCACAAATGCCAGTCGGATTATTCTCCTGGACAGAGTACCCCCATTTGTTTACATGCATTTAATGTTCTTTCCCCCTAAAGTCTTCAGTCAATTTAAGCCCAAGACAGAACTTGTTCTGCATTAGCAACTACCATGCGAAATGGCCACTAGAGGGACTCTCTGCACCTCACCAGGTAACCCTGTCTGTGGCCAGGGCCCACAGAAAGCGCCTGTCCTGGGCTCCTGGACCACCTGGATCACAGGAGAGTGGGATGGGTCTGGGTGAAGGCTTTGCCTCCATGGCCATTCTTGGTAAGTTTAAATTCTCATAAAAATATTGATCACTGCAAATCAGTAAATGATTGCCAAATGGGAAATTCGCTTCACACAATTTATAAAATCATCATCAGTGGTTCTACTCAAATCACTCAGTATGATACTGCATTCCAATATCCAAATTGTTTAAAGTGCACATTGCTACCCAAGCAATTAAAACAGTTTCAAAACAGCTATTTTGGTGTCTAGAAAACAGTGACTTAAGCAAACCATGGAAAATCACCCCCTTTTTTTTCAAGCATTTACTCTGCAGGCTGCCATCTCATCTTGCCTCTGATCCTTCTAAGAGGGGCAAGTTGGCTGCCTTTCCAGAATCCTCTGATTTTCATTGATCCAAGGGGCTGGAACTGAGCTTCCTTTTTCATGCCAAGTAGGGTCCAAACAACAGAGAAACATAAAGCTCTTCCTTTCTCCCCAACCTCACCAGCCCTTACCATGGCTGGCTTCCCAGTGATTCATTCAAGGCAACACTTCATTAAAACACACACACACACACACACACACACACACACACACACGCACAGGCACACTCTCTCACACACAGCACACACACACAGAAACAAAAGATGTTTGTTTAGTTCAAGTAGAGATTACTCAACCATAGAATCACTAAGGCTAATTAAAGTGATTTAGCATGGCTGCTAAGACCAGAGATGCTAAAAAGCAACCAGTGAGCAGTTACTACTCTTTGACTTGATGGAATATTTTTCCCCATTAGAATTGACACTTTTTTTTGGTCTAAAGAGTCAATTCAAAATCTATTCATCAAAAAAAAAACAAAAACAAAAACAAAAAAACCCCCCTCATTTCTTCTAGTTTTATCATAAAACTAAGATAATCAGTCCATGCAAACTGTGATATGACATGAAACAAAACAAACCACCACCATTAAAAAAAACCATTAAGAGGTGGGCTGCATTTCAAAGAAAGGGACCAAATGTCATGCATACACAGACATACAGGACAACAGAAACAGCAGGCCACATAATATCTACATTAAACACTGAAGCAAATAAAATTTTAAGTGGCTCTATCCTCCTTTCAAGACAACCTAGAAGATGAGTGGGGAAACTTGCTTTAGAAACACTGCCCTGCTATTGTTGCCCAAATGGAATCTGATTCAAATTCCAGAAAAATCCGATTTAACTAAATCTGAATTAGCAAGAATGCCAAGACAGAGAAATCTATCCACATGGTAAAAGGAGTGATGACAGAGAATGACACAATGTCTCTCTGAGTGTCTTGTCTGTAAATTCTTATCAAGAAAAGTAATTCTGGGCTGGGCGCAGTGGCTCACGTCTGTAATCCCAACGCTCTGGGATGCTGAGGCAGGCGGACTGCCTGAGCTCAGGAGTTTGCGACCAGCCCGGGCAACATGGTGAAACCCCGTTTCTACTAAAATACAAAAAATTAGCTAGGCATGGCGGTGTGCACCTGTACTCCCAGCTACTCAGGAGGCTGAGGCTCGCTTGAACCCAGGAGGCGGAGGTTGCAGTGAGCTGAGATCGCGCCACTGCACTCCAGCCTGGGCAACAGGGTGAGACTCCACCTCAAAAAAAAAAAAAAAAAAAAGTAATTCTGTGCTTTCAGACACATTTTTCCTTAATGAACCCAACAGGAGCTGAGCATTCACAGAAGGTAGCAATAAATATTAAAATAACACTTCTGAATAATAAATACATAGACGAATGTGGAAGCACTGATGTGTTTAAAGAGCCAAGTGATGCCCAACTTCTTACCAAACAACAAATTTTAGAGCTGTTATAACACAGATTTAGAAAAGCAGACATAAATACTCTATGATCCCCCAAGCATCAAAACCAATTTGGTCAGTTCTTCATGCTGCTCAGGAGCAACATGCCCCTATGGATTGTTGGAGAGTGTCAAATCCTGGGTTCCTTGACTCAGATTACCCACATTTCTAAAAAAGATTAAATAAGGGGAACTGGCTTTGGAAAAAATCTATTTCCTTTCAGTTTCCTACATCAGTTAAAAGCATCCTGCAGAAAATAGCCTAACAAGGAATAAAAACTGACAATAACTTTCCTTTCAAGACATAATAATCCAATTAGAAAAAACTGAAGCCTTTCAGTAATTTTTGTACATATATTTACACATATGTATCTTTATATAAACTGCTTGCAGCAAAATAGGCTCCGTCTGAAAAATCAGTCTGGCACTTGTGGTTAACATCAAACTGACACAAATACACAAAAAGCCGTCCAAATCACACAACAGTTAGGAGCTACATAGGGCAGCTGGCAGGGAGACAAACATGTAGTACTTGTTCAGGTCAGATAAAAGCAGTAAGTTATCCAGCTAAAATCCTTCTGATTGTCTTCAAAAGTAATTTTGATAACATTGGTAAAGTGATTAGCAAGTTTGTTTTCTCAACTGGATTCTCTCAAACCTTTCCCTTCACTGCACAGAAAGGTAACGTTAGGGTCTGGTGTCTCGCAGAAACAAGCCCTACACAATTGAATCCCAATCAAAGTCATCCTGGATGTCATCTGGAGGCAGGGAGCGCCGCATCTGGAAGGCTTGGGAAGGCATCATGTGCTGCTGGTTCATGGCTCTGTGATGGCCTGGAAGGAAAGAGGCAATATTAGCAGCGACTTGGGTAGAGAAGAAAGAAATAAACTAACCCCTACTGTGTACTTCCTATATGCCAGGTACACATTCTCTCACTAATTCAACCATAAGCCTTCAAAAAGTGGCTCTTATGATCCTCATTTTATAGGTAAGAGGATAGTATCGGTTTAAGAGGATGAGTAATTACCCAAAGTCACACAACCACAGGGGGCAAAGATAGGATCTGAGGTCAGTTCACTTGACCCACACTCCTTCCATTATACCAGGCTGCAGTAAGGAAGACACAAGAAAAGTGCCAATGTAGCCAATGCTCTTAGTCTGTTTTGCTCCAATACGTTGTTTCAGTAACATGAATTGGCTCCCATGAGAATGGTAAACAGGATAATGATAGCAGTGCACCAATGATGTCATACTGAATTTTCCCCAGCAAGCTAATTTCTGTGCCACCAAGTAACACCAAGTGAACACAGAGAACATAAACAAGGGAACACAGGAAGCCAGGAGGAACCACAGTTGAGTACAGAATGCCCACCTTCCCATGCTCTTCTTGCACCAGTTTGGCCATGTGTTGTTACTGTATCTTGACAGACCCCTTTCTAAACCAGCTGCTTTTTAAAAGTAGAGGTTGATATTTACTTGTAGAATTCTTTCTTTTATTACAAATTATACATATCCTTTTAACTGTTGTGGAAGTTTTACTGGATTATTTTTCTAGTACTCTGATTACAAAATTTCAAGTAGTCTGCTACTCATTTTTCTCATATGCCCTGAAATATTTTCTTGTACAATTATTTAATGCTAAGGTTTTCAGTATATCACAATATAGGTGAAATGCCTTCATTGAAAAAAAACCTGTAAGTTCCTTAATGTGGGTCAGGCACTAATTTACACAATTCTCATTTAATCCTAACAACTCAAGGACCTAGGTAGTGTTATTAGCCCCTTGTACAAACAGGGAAGCTGAGGTAGGAGGGTTAGGCAGCTTGCCTAACATCACACAGCCATTAAGCGGCAAAGCATGAAGATTTAAACACAAGCGCTCTGGCTCCAGAGTCTTATCCACCTTATGGTACCACTTACAATTTACTAGTAAGCACTCACAACAGTAACATTCCTTCCCCCTTCAGCAAAGGACATATCACTTGGTCCCAACTCCTTCCTCACTGCTGTCTACCACACAGTTCTTCAAGGTTTTAATTACACCCTCAACCCCATTACCTTTATGTCTTTTCCTCAAAGAGCCTAAGTAAAGAATTGTGTGGTATGCTGAGAAAAACAATGGACTCTGAATCCAGACACTGGGGCTTGAGTCTTGGTTTGGCCACTCACTAATCTGGGTGGCCTAGGCAAGGCATTTCTCCTTCGGAGCCTCCATTATCCTAAGGGATCCTTAAGACACTTTCCAGCTCTAACAATGTGCCGTATTCCCCTGGCTAAATGAAACGTATCCTGCATTCAAGAACCCAGCGGGAAAAGTTTATGAACCAGTTAACTCCTAAAATTTACCTTCTCTACGAGGTACTTCCCTGGAAACTACAGCTGTGGGAACTCCCTTGGAATGAATGAAGCAGAATCTACAGGAGCTAATAAAGTAGGTTCCTAAAACCTGCTAAAGTCCTGTCAAACACCCTCAACTGTGACCCCAGGACTTCTTAGAGAGGCAAGACAATAAATAACTAGAGTAAGTAGAATCATTGCATCTTGGGCTAAAAAGGGCTTCAGGTCCTACAGTCCAAACACCAACTGATGCTTGAATCCCTTCGTTAGCACTAGTGCCAAGTGGCTGTCCAGACATTGTCCCCTAGCCCCTCTTAACAGGGGGTTCTCTCCTTGAAGCCGCCTCATTCACCACTGGGAAAGCTAACGCTTCTCAATATTAAACTCTGGGTAATAAATCACACACCCACACACACACCCCCCCCCCACACACACACACACATTACCTGCCATCGTTGTTCCTGGAGTGCTGAGTGCCTGTGGGATATGAGGATAACCAGGGGGTGGCATCACTGAAGGAGGGAGATTTTGCCTAGAATCTATGTACAAATTTCCTAATCAGATTAAAAACAGAAAGAGGGAAAATATGTTACCACAAATAAAACAAATGGAGTACTAAAATCTTAACAGAATTGTTACCCTGAAAGTAAACTAAGCAGGTAAAGTGAGGAAAAAAGAGGAAGAAAATACTACGCTTTTCAGATGCTATAACTGTGGTCTTGGCCTTTTGAACAGGATGCCAGGCTGGGTGTGAACACACTGGAACTAATGCTGGCACTGCCACTAACTGTAGACTGGTAGGCAAGTTATGTCTATTATTGCTGCTGTCACATACCTCATTACAATTCAAAAGTATTTTTGTATCCATTACTTCATCTGACCCTCCCACTAAGCCCCAAAGGAGGGCAAGACAGGGATTGTTATACCCATTTTACAGATGAGGCAATTGAAACTCAGAAAGGCTAACCTGACTTGCCCAAAGACACGTTAGTTTGACAATGCTAGGACTAGAATTCAGATCTCCTAACTCATAGACTCTTTTTTTTGAGACAGGGTCTCACTCTGTCACCCAGGCTGGAGTGCAGTGGCGTAATCTCAGCTCACTGCTGCTTCCGCCTCCCGGGTTCGAGCGATTCTCCTGCCTCAGCCTCCCAAGTAGCTGGGATTACAGGCATGCACTACCATGCCTGGCTAATTTTTGTATTTTTAGTAGAGATGGGGTTTCACCATGTTGGCCAGGCTGATCTTGAACTCCTGACCTCAAGTGATCCACCTGTCTCGGCCTCCCAAAGTGCTGGGATTACAGGCATGAGCCACAGCACGCAGCCACTCATGGACTCTTTCTACATCACCACCTATTCGCCATTTCCCTGATGTTCTCACCCTTGAAGCAGGCCTAACCATGTGTGCCCTTGTGCCTGGGAAGCACAAGGTAACAGTAAAGATCTGCACATAGTAAAACAGCTACATCAAGCAATGATTAAAAACGTATTATTCTGAGCAGGGCATGGTGGCTCAGGCTTGTTAATTCCAGCACTTTGGGAGGCAGAGGTGGGCAGATCACCTGAGGTCAGGAGTTCGACATCAGACTGGCCAACATGGCAAAACCCTGTCTCTACTAAAAATACAAAGAATTAGCTGGGCGTGGTGGCATGCACCTGTAGTCCCAGCTACTCGGGAGGCTGAGGGAGGAGAGTCGCTTGAACCTGGGAGATGGAGGTTATAGTGAGCCGAGATAGTGCTACTACACTCCAGCCTGGATAACAGAGTGAGTCTCTGTCAAAACAGAGGGGAATGGGGAGGGGAGGGGAGGGGAGAGGGGAGGGAGGGAGGGGCAGGGAGGGGAGGGAGGAAGGGGAGTATTATTCTGTAGTGTGAGGATGGGGACCATGGATCTCATTCAAATTTTATTTCAGAAGTTTCTTAATATATTTTCATTAACAGGAGACATCAAGTGTTAACACCTCCAAAATGTCAACTACGTTACATCATAATACAAAAGAGAGAGAGAACAAATATGACCCCTCCCCCAATAACTCATGAGGAATGATTATAAAAGTGGTTCACATTGTAAGGAACATCTGGAATTCTGGAAAGGCTACTTCCCTAAGTTTATTTAGTATTTCATGTAAATTACACTTGAATTCTAGTAATGTTGTAATGAAACTAAAAAACAATAATCATTTTCCCAGAGGAAACTAAAAAGAGTGGAAAAAATCTTCCACTTCTATTAAGGTAAGGCATTCTGTATTTGGCTGCTCACAAGTCTGTACCCTCCAGTGGAAAGCCAGACTATCCAGGCTTGAGATGGCCTCAGAGATAATCTACTCTGACCTTACCTCTGTCCATGTAGATAGGGAAACAGGAACAGAGGAAATGAGAGAGAACCAGGACCAGAATCCAACACTTCTGACCCCCGTCCCTGCCTCCCATGATAACATGCCTTTCATCAGTGAAGTTTATAGTCAGAACTGAGCTCTTCGATTGACTGACCATACTGATGATTTAGAAAGAAAAAAGAGGAGAAACGTTATACTAAACTATAGCTCTAATACTGGTGCAAGTGACGCGGGGCAGAATCCTGTCTCCAAATGCTGATTGGTCTTCACATGCACGGCTAGTGCACTTTCTAAAGACTGCACCAAACTGGACGACCAAGGAAGGCATCCCCTGAGCAGGTGTTTTTTTGAGGAAAAAAAGAGAACAAGATGAGAAAATGAGTCATGTGTCTATCTTAGGGAAGACCACTCTGAACAAGAGGGAAGAGCAAGTACAAAGGCCCTGGTTAGGTAGAGTGTGCTACCTAGTGTGTTCAAAGAACACCAGGGAGACCAGTAGTGTTGGAGCACAGGGGTGGAGGGCAGAAGGCAGGAGACAAGATCAGAAATAACGGGTGATCAGATTGTGTAGGCCATATAGGCCATAGTAACAACATTGGTCTTTACTGAGAAAGATGGAGGGTTCTGAGCAGAAAACAGACATGACATGATCTGACCTGTCTTGCAAAATCCCACTTAACCTACAAAGTCCAGCTTAAATGTGTTGTCTTCTAGGAAAATTTTCATCTTTCCAAGAGAAGTATGTACCCCTTTCTCTGAATTCTTACTGCACTTATACCCTATGGAGAAGTGTAGCCCTCAACATACTATATTTCTTTTTTTTTTTTTTTTTTTTTTTTTTGAGACGGAGTCTCGTTCTGCCGCCCAGGCTGGAATGTGGTGGCGCAATCTTGGCTCACTGCAAGCTCTGCCTCCCGGGTTCACACCATTCTCCTGCCTCAGCCTCCCAAGTAGCTGGGACTACAGGAACCCACCACCATGCCCGGCTAATTTTTTAAATATTTTTTGAGAAGAGACGGAGTTTCACCATGTTAGCCAGGATGGTCTCTATCTCCCGACCTCATGATCCACCTGCCTCGGCCTCCCTAAGAGGCCTCCCTAACATATTGTATTTCTTGATGGACCTGTCTCAACCATTAGGTTGTGAACTCTTTGAGACAAAAGCTACTACAGGGGTCTTTATTCTCAGTGCCCAATACACAGCTAGACACAGAAAAGGTGTCTAGTATGTACTCAATGACTGCATCCCTACCTATATTTAATGGCCTTTAAGCAAAGCATCAAATTACAGTAGTACAGCCAGAAGATATAAACAAATTATAACCACAGGTAAAAAGATTTAGGAAAAGATGTCATAGACTGTGTTCTACAACATCCTTCTCCCCTTCTCCCTTCCACACTAGCATACTACACCACTAATTTCTGGAGTCTATAGGAAGCTCAAGGAGGTGTTCACCAAAAGAGGGTCCCTGAAAACAGGAATAACAGGAAAGGTTTAAGGAAATGGAGAGACTATATTCTGGGACTCAAGACCTACACCTAAATGAATTTTACAACTTTGGGCAAGTCACTTTCTCCCCCTGGATCAAAATGTCCTTATCTGTTAAATAAAGGGATAAAATCAGCAGCCCTCTGAAAGTCTCCTCTTGACTATACTTCTAAGAAATTATGACAAAGAATTATTGGGGTGTAGAGATGAGGGAAGTGAAAGATCTGAATGGATGTGATATACAGGGATGTAAGGAAGAGAAAAAAGGAATGACAGAAAGACACACTTAAAACAAGAGGAAGCAGGCTGGACATGTAAAAAAAATCTGAATATTTGTGAACAGACATCAGCAGGCATGAAGTGATGAATACTTGGAGCACCATAACTGATGAGAGAACAACTTGTCAGAGGCCAACACAGCTTGGCAGGCATGAGTCAGAAGGAAGATACAAAAGGGGAGTGAGAGTAGAAAGAACTGAATAAACACTGAAGAAAAACTATAGTTTTTCTACCTTTGACAGGCTGTGACTAGGGTAGCACTGAGAATCACAAAGCTGTCACTGGGACCCTAGAGAGGAGGAGGGCCCTGACAAAAGAGATGACAGAAAAAATTAACAGAATCACAGAACACCAGAACAAATAACCAAGGTCAAGGCTCAAGAAGAGATGACTACAGAAGTCTAGGAACAAAGGGCTTTAGGAAAATAACTCAGGATCTCAGTCTAGAGAGAATCCAGGAGTGCCTGGGTACTCTCTGACAGAGGACAGCAGTAGATAAACAGTGTTTTTTCCATGACAAAACTACCAAGTTCCAAGACCAAAAGGTACACATAGACCTTTCTTACAGACTTAGGGCACAAAACTGAAATTCAACAATGTGGGAGCTACTGGCTAACATGTACACTAGCTTTTGAGATTGCCTTCTTCTTCTTCTTCTTTGGAGATGAAGCCTCCCTCTGTTGCCCAGGCTGGAGTGCAGTGGCATGATCTCAGTTCACCGCAACCTCCGCCTCCCAGGTGGCTGGGATTACAGGCACGTGCCACCACGCCCAGTTAATTTTTGTATTTTTAGTAGAGACGGGGTTTCACCATGTTGGCCAGGCTGGTCTCAAACTCTTGACTTCAGGTGATCAGCCTGCCTCAGCCTCCCAAAGGGCTGGGGTTGCAGGCATGAGCCACCACACCTGGCCAAGGCTGCCTTCTTCTAAGACTGACCCACAACTTCTTCTACTTGTCCTGCCTGAGGCAACAATCTATGAGCAACACAGGTACTTACCTCCAAACACACAAGACTAGTGATACATATATAAGCTATTTAATTTCACTTAGTACTTTTTGAGGCTGACTGAAATGATTAGAGGTGGAGTTAGCAAAGAAGTGAACATCATGACAGCACTTAGAAGCAACAATTTTGGATGAATATAGAAAGAAAAGAGAAAAGGAGAAAAAAGGGATAAAAAACAGAGGGAGGTGGTACACCTGGTCTAAGAACTTAAAGCAAGTTGAAAAACTGAAAGTGATATATCCTGAAAGGGACAAAGTATGGGCTTAGAACCCATGAGAGAAACAAAGAAGACATGCTGTCCATCTGCAAGAAAATATTTTAAAAAATGAAATGGAAGAAGGGCACATAAGTGAGGATACCTGAATTATAGAGATCTTGATGCTTAAAAATGAATATATATCAGAAAGATACCAAAAAGAACTAATAAAAGGAGAGAGAGACAAAGAAGCTAAAAAGTTATCAAAAACTAAATTCTCTCTGGCACAGAGAGAAATCAGTCACGGGACTGAATGAGGCCCTTGTGTGGATATAATTCACTGAATGAATAGGTCACCAGAATCAAAGAGTGACTGAAAGTTTCAGGCAGGATAAGCAATTCAAAATAGCTTAGGAAAAGCTATTCAAGATGGAAGAAGAAAAGATAATAGATTTCCACTACATCAAAGGATACAGAAATAAAGATTTCATGAAAAGAAAGACATAGATTGATAAGCTTGAGTTGAATAAACTCAAACCATGGGTGGACGAAAGATGTGAAATAAGATAGAATAATGGTTAAAGGAAGCCACTCAGGACAGAGAAGAGAGAGCTTGTTGGCATAAAATGTAAAGTCAATATAACACACAGAAAAGAAATAAACTTGATGATAAGACAAGGTAAGGAATTAAAATGAAGAAAGAAGTAACTTGGATATGAAATTCCTATAGAAAAATGTGGGCAGTGCAATCAGAGTAGAAGACATGGCTGCAAGGATAAAGAATAAAGGAAGAAAGCGAGATTTTTAAAATACATAGGAAAGATTTTGGGTCTAAAGTAAAACATCAGTGAGACTATTTTCCATTACGTCCACTCTTCAAACACTTTGAATTCTTGCATTTTAACATTCTTAGGAGATAGACAAGACACGCCGATTTCCATTGCAGATCTGTACAAATTTAAATTAATATAATCTCATAATTATGTCATATAAAAACATGTTATCTCCAATATAATTTAATTCTTGTTTGATAACTTAGTAAAAGGTTAATGACAACAGTTAACTGTAAATAATAAAGCAATCATATAAATCACAACAGAAGAACATACAGTCTCTTTACCTCAATTTTTCTAAGATATACCCTACATATAAATTATTTGCTTTCATTCATTTCCTATAAATAAAAATTTGTAAACAGATCACTGTCACCATTAGCAGCAAACCAAGTTGGTTAAGACAGTTACCACATTTCGTATGAATGAGAAAATGAGAAAAATCAAGAAGATAACTAATCCCCATACCTGTTCCAATGTGTTGGGAAGGTTTTGTTGGATGCATGGCACCATGACAAACATTTTGCTGAACATTACTCTGTGAATGAATAAGGCCAGTTTGTGTAAAGAACTGATTAAGAGAAGAACAGAGATCGGCAAACTGAACTTGATCTAAAGACCAGTTCTTGAGATCTGCCTGTCTCATACTCTCCATCAGACCTATGAGGAAAGCATTAAAAATATGTTAGCACAGTTATGCAACAAACATTGCAAGGAAAATAGCAAGATACAATTTTTTTCAGCCCTCAAAATTTCCACTCACTCCATTTTATGGCAGTGATTTGCCCACGCAATGAAGAATGATCTTTTTAAGTTATTCAAAGCCCAATTATTTTAAATGTGGCCAAATTTCTTTCAGAACTTGTCTGTGACCCTCTGCTATATCAACTGGCCAAAATCATTATGAATTTTACCAACTGCAAAAGAAATGCTATATAAGATGTTTATTTCTACTACAAAGAAAGTTACAATCTAGCAGAGAAACAGGATCATGTGTATTTGGTTATATGTCAAAAAGAACCAACACTCACCTTGAAACTGTGAAAGGTCTACATCTGACCAATTAACACTGCTGGCAATTCGACAGCTTTCTTTTAGCATATCAAGTGTCGCATACCAATCATTTGAAACACCTATAAAAGTAATATTGACAACAGTCTAATTCCTGGATGGTGAAAGGGTGAAGTGTGGTAAGGGAAAACGATGAGCTGGCCCTATTCCTGAAATTGGCTGATTCTTGTCCAGTCTTACAAGGGGATTTGTACTCATTATTATCATGTGTTGGCCAATCTGCTCTGTGAGATAGGCAGAAAGGTATTATTTCTCTCCGTTTTACAAATAAAAGAAACTGAACCAGAGGGGTGACATAACTTAGCAAGGTTATCATGATGAATCTAAGACTTGAACCCAGGTCTTCTAACCTCCAGTGTGGCAGCTTCCAAACTGCCACATCACCTAGTAATATCAAACTTGATACTGCTCTTTACATTACAGTACCAATAAATGAACAGGTAGGAAATGTCATGCAAATCTGTATTTTCCCCTATATAAAGTTCATTTTCCTGTCTTGCTATGACCTTAAAAGAACTTAGAGAGGCAGGTTCTCATTTAGAGGCAATACACAGTACAATTTAATGCAATGACTTAAGACAGGTGGATCAGATCATATAGTAAGAGTAAATGCTTCTTCCAATGCAATCTTAGGAGAAAAAAATTTAACACAGTTCCCCTGCCAAGTTAGTGAAGGAAGAGGAGTGAGATCTCTGTAAGAAATGCTGATGAATCCACGTCATGGCATTTCTAGTCAGAAATGGTATCCTCTGGTATGACATCAGAAGAGTTTAAGACTCCATAATCTGTATGTCAGCAAACCAGTCATTAGTCAGAGGCCATGTAGCAAGAGTTACCCTCAATGAGACAGCAGTGCTGAATAGAGGAAGAAAATTCTCCATTCAGTGACTGCTGTCAAGCCACTCTGTTTCTAGGATCACCCCTGCATGGATGAAGATAAAGACCAACAAAAAGGGTTGGTTGGTTTGCTTTTGCTACATCAAGGCATCTCTTGGCTATATCAACTACTGGCTACTTGATTACAAAATTCTGCCAATTATGGATTTTTAAAATAAACAATCAACTAGAGACAACATGACCCTGCCATGAAGCAAGTCATAATTTAGGAAGAAATTTGTTGCGGGGTGGGAGGGGATTAAACTAATACCCAAATGAGCCACGAACATGCAAGTCTACCAGACTCAGATCCTTTAGTTCAAGAAGAACTTCACGGATAAGGAAACCAAAGTTCAAAGGAATTATATGATTTAAGTCACTTAGTAATACAACAGCCAAAGCAGTACTAGAATCCCGATCTCTTGAGGTAAATGCAACTCAGGTAGTCAAAAGGTCAGGGTAGGAAAAAGGTTAACTGAAATGAAATTATGACCAGGAACCAGGGCACTTGCCATGACTAATTTGTTGCTGTGGGTAAGAGGAAGAGGAGGCTCCTTTAATAAATACTGACTTGGCAAATAAAAATAAAGCAAACTCTGCAAAGAGTGGGTGAGCAAACCCTACCCACTTAGTAAATGTCTGCTAATTTTAGTTCTTTTAGAATAACTGGTGTTACAAGCTTTGAAGTCAGACATGTCAGAATATAAACCCCAGTTCTACCACTTACCACAGTATGATCTTAAGCAAATTACTTAAAATTCTTTTAGTTGCATTTTCCTATATATAAAATGTGGTCATCTATACTTGAATTGGGAGGATAATGTAAGATAATGTATCTAAACTACAAACAACAGTTAAAATCAAAACCTGCAAGGGTTGCTGGGTTTGCCTATGTTGCCACAATAAATTTTAATCAAGAAAATCGCCAGGTCAGTCTATGAATTAAATGAGTTACAACTATAGGATTATAGCAAGGAAACACAAAAGGAAACAGATGAAAAGAGGTTTTGGTAGCAAATACTACATGAGCTCCAAATAACAAAGGACAGATCCTAATTCACAGTTAGCCAAACACAAGCCAGGAGACAAAAACTTACCAGAATTACAGGATACCTGTTGTGGGGGTGGGGGTGCCTGATGTGTTAACGTCTGATGCTGATGGTTCGGATGGTGCTGTATGTGTTGATGTGGAGAGGGATGCTGGGGGTGAGGAGACTGGAGCTGGCTGTGTTGCTGTGGGTGTGGTGCTGGGTGCGGGGAACGCTGCGGATGCTGTGGTAAACCATGAGGTCGATGGGGAGGATGTGGAGATGGCTGTGTGTGCATCTGGGGGTGAGATAGTGAGACCTGTGCAACCGAATTACTGCCTGTGGTATTGAGGCCACTGCCATGACTGTTGGACAGGCTGCTTTGGTTGCTGTGTGGGTGAGTGCTCACTGTACTGCTGGGAGAGTGCTGATAGGAACATGAAGTGTGGGACTGCTGGGAAGATTCAGAAGGGATGTTCATCAAACCTAAAAACAGTCAGAGAGAGCAAGATCGTTTATGGTCGGATTTCAGCTGTATTTTATGACAAACGTTTGTAAAATTATTAATGTAACAAAAGCATATGATGCCAGGGAGCTACACTGGTTCAATTTAACAAGTGCTAATGCAACATCCACTACAAACTAGGCTCTGTGGTTATTGAGAAGAAATATAATTCCCCACCCTTGAGCGGAAGAGAAAGACAAGATTATGACCAACAATATAAGTACTAAAACTAAAGTTTACAGAGGATTATGAAAACTGCTCCTTGTCTGTTCAGCTAGGAGGAGGCTCAAAATATAGAAAAGCCTTTGTTTTAAAGACAGTGCCTGAATTGAGTCTTGAAAGGTAAGTAAATGTTAGGGGAAAAGTGGGAAAGGTGTTGGGGTCACACTCAGGATGGTTCTCTGTAGGCATAAAGACCAAGGCTTTGATAGAAGATCGCACAATCTAAACTAAAACCCAATTGGCTAACAGTTTAAAACTTTTCCAAATAGGTAAAAGTAATGGAAAGACAAAGGAAAAGAGGACGTTGTTTATGCCAAATTAGGGAAGGGGCATAGGCTGCGAGCTGGAATGTGCCTGTGAGCACGTCCAGCACAAACATCTTGGTTAAGGTACAAGGACATAGAATGTACTAGGTGCCTGTGAGCATGTTTAACAGCTACATAGGATAGGGCCCAACAAAGAGTTATTAGCATAAAGTAAGGAGGCTTAAAGGAAGTTAGTTTTTAAAAGAAACTATTATTTCTAACACTTATGATTTATTCTTTAACAAGAAAGGAAACTTTTGAAGAGGAACTTTTTACTTTCTACATAGTGAAGGTATACGCTGCAGGATGAGCTCTATAAATGTTAGCTGCCATGATGATGATTAAGCCAAAAGTGCTTAATGTTAAGGATAATTTTTGTTTGGTCTGCAAGTAGTTAGATAATCTTACTGCAACATTTGGTTCTATGTAACTAGACTATTTTCAAATCCCAAAGGGTGGCCCATGCAATGTTATGCTGAACCAAACATAAAAATAATTTTATTGAATGAAAAAAAAAAAAACCACAAGATAATATCAATCAATAAAACCACGTTTTAAAAAGATAAAATTATTCTCATATTTGTAATTAGTAGTAAAACTGTATTTGAGTACACTGCAAGATAATCTTAAAAGCTACCAAGTTTTACAGGCAGAAGAGTTAATAAAAGTTCTTGCCTTGGCCCTAGAAAATAGTCACATATAAGGAATCTGTAGGGTTATTACCGTAAGATCAAAGAAAGCAGTAATTTATCAATTTTCAATAAAATCCTAGCATTTTACAAGGGAACCAAGGTCTGATCTGTATCAACATTTTCAATCTCAAATTATTTTTAAATAAAAGAAAGCAAAATATCTCTCCAGAAGCCCAATATGTAAAACTGGTAAGTATACTAAAATTGTTTCTTTGAAGCTGGGGAAGGAAGCTTACTAGGTCTACCTCTGCATCCGCACATTTCTCCTCTGGCAGTCCCAAAGATCTTTACAAAAGCCAAAGCCTCTGAAGAAAACAATCTGAAAATCACTGATCTAATCCAATCCTCTTTATTGTACAAATGGGGACACTGAAGTCCAGAGATGAGAAGTTAACTCAGTTGACTTAATGGCAGAACCTGGACTAGAACCCAGAATTCCCATCGATGCTTTTTTTTTTTTTTTTTTTAAATAGTGTGATGGAATGGAATTATGGGTTTCAGAAATTGTCATTGTTATTTCAAAGCCTTTATTTTTCTGTTATGAATACCAAGGCTGGATTTGCTTAGCAAACTCTTCTATTAGTTCTTTTTATACTTTTATAGATAAAAAACTTAAAAGTTGAGAAAACATATGAATCTTACTTTAAATTCAAATGCTAACCAGAAAAGGCCATTTCACATACACATGATCAGTATTCATCAATATAAGTAACAGTATATAACATTAACATTAACTGAAAGTAAGTATTAACATGCAAACAGTATAAAGACAAGGATTTCTGTTTCTTTTTGTTCACTGCTGTGAACATATAAACTTTCTGGGTTGGGGTGCTACAGTTTCAATGTATGTGTCCCTCCAAAATTCACATGTTGGAACTTAAACCCCCAGGTGATGGTATTAAGAAGTGGGACCTTGAGGAGGTAATGAGGGACTGGGCCTTGCAAAAGGGATGGAGAGAACTAGCTACTTTTTGCCCTTCCATGTTGTCTGCCACATGAGGACACAGTGCTCAGCTCCATGTGAGAATACTGCCAAAAGGCACCATTTACGATGAACAAGCCCTTGCCAGACACCAAATCTGTTGGTTCCTTGATCCTGAACTTCCCAACCTCCCAAACTGTGAGAAATACATTTCTGTTGTTTATAAATTACCCATTCTAAGGTATTTTGACACAGCAGCAGGAAAGGAATAAAACATGGGGTATAAATAGTTAATGTGCCAAACAAACAAGTAATTAGGAAATGCTTCAACAGTAGAGTTCCCAACAATTTCTGACTAGTCATCTTTGGGGAAAAGATGTGACATTTTTACCCTCTGATTAAAATTAAACCAGCAGTTAATGGGACGAGAACACATCAGAGCAAGAATCTAGCATTTGGTTGAGATATAATAGTGTGTCTCAACTAAAGTCACTTTTAATATTAAAATCTGACTTATGTATATTGCGTAAAACAATGACCCAAAGTTTACTAGTAGCTGATGTATTCACTTGTAAGTGCCACACTCAAAATCACAAATTTGGTGCTACCACATTCCGATAAGTTATCTTTTTGCTAATACCAGTCAGACCAAAAGCAAGGCACGTCTATTCTTGTGGTGCAACATTCACCACTCAAACACTTCATATGCCAGATATCTCTAATTAATTATAGTGGTGTTTCCCGTATGGTATAGATGCAGTGTCAGAATTCTTTAACACAGTGCTCTTGGATGACACTAGTAAACAAGTAAGTAGGCATGCAACATAAAATTTATCAGCCATTTTTGTGCTATGATATAAACAGAACATACTAAAGGCACAAAGGGCAAAATATAATTATCCAATTCTTATTGTGATGATAATATTTTAAGATTAAGAGTATAACAGCTGTCATGTGAAATAATTTTAAAATCTTTTTCCAATAAAACTTTGTCATAAAAAAGGTTTTAAGAAAACTCACCTTGTTGACTAAGTGACTGCTCAAAAACTGACTTATAAAGGCTCCGAAATGAGGCACTAAGATCTTCAAAATTATATTCTGAGAAAAGTAGTTGCTTGTCTCTTTCTGGAAGGTTGTACTGTGGTTGCTGCTGAGGAGTTAATGATTGAGAGACTGATTCTGGATGGCTTGTCACCTAACATTAAAAGAAAACACAACTAATTTAGCCTCTCTACTCATTACAATTGGCTTGTTATATAAAATATATAACTGAAAACAGTGCCAACACTGGAATTCAAAGAAAATAACTCTTCTGTCTCAGGCTTTCCCATCCTCTGTTAAAACATAATGGACAGAAAGCAAAACAGTTAAACTGAATCTTGAAGAACTGTAGAAGTCTAACCCAACCTCCATATTTCACAGAAGGAAAAGAATTCAAAGTTAAATAACTTGCCTTAGATCATACAAGTACGTGATGAGTTAGGCCTAGAATCCTTCTAGGCTTTCTGTAAAGTCTTCAATCGTGATTTCTACAGAAGCTATTTTATCTCAAACTCCACTAAAACTATAAAACTACTAACATTTCTTTCATTTATTCAATTATTTTTTAGTATACAAACCCAAATACTGTGAGTACTATGAGTCAGATGTATGGCTCTGCCCAAAGCAACAAGGAGCTTAAATATGCCTAACTCTTCATCTCCAGGGAAAACTTATCTTTAAAAGCAGGAAAACTAGAAATAAAATCAATAAAAGATAACCATCTGTATTTCTTAAAGACTACGTACTATATGAAAAGGTGGTAAACTACCATTTGTTTAGTGTTTTGAAAAATTAATGTACGAACACTGACTAGAAACTTACGTAGCCATTAAAAATAATGCTCATAAGGAGTCTGCAATAACATGGAAAAATATGGATTTTTACATAAGAAAATGGCTCCGCCGCTGGCACCCTAGTGTCCTTACACATCTCCACACAAACAATGTAGGCAAGGCTCCATGGCAGGATGACCTAAGCCTTGGTGGAACACCCTGTGATTATCCTGGAACAAGTGGTTTTATTTATTAAAATTCTCATCTGCCCTCATGTCTTGCAGGAGATGGCCATGGGGCAGTTACTCATCCACCTTTCTATTTTGCAAGAAGTTGCCAAGAAACAGGTTCTCATCTACCTCCCTGGCTGAGTGAGACATGGGACTTTCTGCCTTACTCCCTTAGGGTACAGCTGCAGGTTACAAAACTGCTTAGCTGCACTATGGAATTTGTTCCTCTATTACAGAGTGAGCTACTACTCGAGTAGTCTGTCATCTAGTACTGTCATGTGGGATGTAGGGAGCTGACACCATGCTAACCTGGTTTATACTGTCTGTATAAGTAATAAAACTATCTCAATCCATGTGGGCTCATTGTGGCCTTACAGGATCAAACTATATAGGTGTGATAAACCCAATCGGCAGCTGCCACTGCACTGTTGCTTAGGGACTGCTCGACCATTTGACACTTTACTGTTGAAAGAAAACAGCAGGGACGGGCATGGTGGCTCAACGCCTATAATTCCAGCACTTTAAGAGGCCAAGGCGGGCAGATCACCTGAAGTCAGAAGTTCGAGACCAGCCTGGCCAACATGGTGAAACCCTGTTTCAACTAAAAATACAAAAAGTAGCTAGGTGTGGTGGCTCACGCCTGTAATCCCAGCAACTTGAGAGGCTGAGGCAAGAGAATCGCCTGAACTTGGGAGGCAGAGATTGTTGTGAGCTGAGATCGCGCCATTGCACTCCAGCCTGGCCAACAGAGCGAGACTCCATCTCAAAAACAACAAAAAAACCAGTCTACAAAGTCTCGCTTTAAACAGGGCAGTTTAACCCTGTTACATTTATTGGCACAACAAACATGTTAGTTCTTACTTCTGTCATCTAGTTCTATACATGCTTTTTAAATTTGTCCTTTTACAATGCTTTGTGATACTGGACAGTGTTCTTTGCGTTCTTTTGGTCAAGATTTTTTACACTTATATTACTTCAAAAAGCAACTTAAAATCATTATATCTTTGCTGAGTTTGCTTCAATGTTCTAACTATTGTTTTATAACTTGACTTTGTCATTATTATTTAATTAATCTTGATCACGGGTAAATAATTTTTTTCAGGAAAGATACATGAAAACAAGGGCAGGATACTTTCTAATCTCTGCATATCAAAGAAAGTCTTTCTCTTGCCTTCACACATGAATTAAAATTTGGGCATAATATTTGTTATTCCAAACTCATTCTCTCAAAACTCTGCATACAATGCTCCATTATCTTCTGGCATTTAGTAGTATCAAAGAGAAGCCTGAGGCCAGGCATGGTGGCTCATGCTTGTAATCCTAGCACTTTGGGAAGCCAACAGGGCAGGAGGATTGCTTAAGCCAGGAGTCCAAGACCAGTTTGGCCCACTTAGCCAAGACCCTGTGTCTAAAAAGAGAGAGAAAAAGAGAGGCGGAGGTCTGATTTGTGTTTCTTTATATATAACTTACTTATTCTGTCAGAGTATTTATATGGGTAACCACTTATGAAATTTTAAAATTTGCCATAATGTATCTAGATACAGCAGTCCTTTAGTATCAGCGAGGGATTGGGTAAAGGAACCCCAACCCACTAGAATACAAAATCTGCACATGCTCAAGTCCCTTATACAAAATGTTATAATATTTGCATATAACCTATCCTCCCATATACTTTAAATCATCTCTAGATGATTAATACCTAATACAATGCAAAGTTATTAAACTACATTTTTTTCCTTTTAAAAGAAAAAAAAAGAAAGAAATACAGTCTCATTCTACCGCCCAGGCCGGAGTGGAGTGACATGATTACTCCTGGGTTCAAGTGATCCTCCCTTCTCAGCCTCCTAAGGTGCATGCCACAGTGTCTGGCTATTTCGCTTTTTAAAGACGGGGTCTCACTATGTTGGCCAGGCTGATATCAAACTGGTCTCAAGCAATCCTCTTGCCTCAGCCTCCCAAAGTACTGGGATTACAGGTATGAGCCAACTCATTCCAGCATATATTTTTTATTGCTGTACTTTTTTTTGTTTTTAATTGTATTTTGTTGTTCAAATATTTTCAATCCAAAGTTTGGTTAAATCTGTGGATGTGGAACCTACAAATATGAAGGGCTGACTGTATACGTTTTTCCCCCATTAATTTCTTCTAGAACTCAGTATCCCTTTAAATCTCTATTTCTTCTGAAAATCGCTTCTATAACAACTTTTTCTTCTGCAGGGACAACTACAATTCTCAGTTCTCCACATTTATTGTCTTCTTTTACATAATTTTTATTCCATTTTCTTTCTTCTCCATTGTGGGATAATACTTTTTTCCACCAGGCAGTAATAATTTTGCAGAGGCAACTTTCTTTTTTCCTACATTCAACGTGAATTTTAATTCTGCTATGTTTTTCTTTCCCTTGTGTTATTTTCTTTCGGGTCTCTCCCTTTGTATCTTTGTCCTGTGTAAGTTTTTTCCTATTTACTCATCCTGGAACAACAGGGAGTGATCTGGTAAGATCAAGTTTACACTGACAAACAATGTGGTGTGTAGCTCTTGGGCTCTATTATCTGCTCACTGAGGAAGACAGTTGCCAGGTAGTTTGAAAAGAATAACAGATACCCTAAGAGTCATGTTCTTGTAATAGGTAACAAATTAGTATAGAAGCAAGAGTACTCATACACAGGTCCCTTTATAGCATGGCTTTTTGCCCCCTGGATCCAAACTGAAAATACATGAGTAGTTAAAAATTGAGTACCAGGCCACCCTAACCTCTGGGGTTTACAGAATTCCCTTCTCAGATCTACAGCTGGAAACCATGTCGACACACACATCTTCTAAGCTCTTTTTCTAAGAAGTATAGAATATCACCAACTATCGCTCTACTAGACTAAAGTGCAATTTTTTTCCTGTTCCAATGGCTTTTCTCTTGGACACAGAACAGACAGAATAAAGTAGACCAAAATCTGTTAACACTGCACAACCATTTTTTAAAAATCGAATATGGTATCAAATTAAAACACTAACAAGTTACAATCTCCTCTAAATAAGTTTTATCTAAAGTTAATAAATTTATTAGTGAGAAAAACATACCTTCATTTTTAAATTTGCATTTCAATTATGTTTGGTTTAGTTTTAAGTACTAAATGAATAACTATTAACATGTTAACTTCATCAAGACTTACCGGTGTATAATTATGCACACTTCCAACACTGTTCAAATTAACAGATGCCAAACTCTGGTCTGAGAGACTGTTGTTAAGGCTACTGCGTGGGCTATCACTACCATCCTGATCAGTGTTATACAGTGTTACCTAAAATGAAAAAAGAAAAATGACAACTGAATATAAGGAGTACTTCTTAAGCAATTCTGCAAAAATACAACTGAGCAGGCATATGGCAAGAAGAAATCTCAGTGGCCTTTCCCTAGGTGCTCACCCCAATTCCATGCCCCGTATGGCTAAGTTCATGTTCATCATAAAATAATTTTCTCAATACTCAAACTAAAGGACATGTCTTTTAGAGGTATAGAAATTCAATTTATAGCATAATTTACCAGGTATAATTAGCCCATAAACATTTAATAAAAGAGGAATATAATAGATTTTTACTCTATTAAATATTTCTATAATGCATACATTTTTGCTCAGGCTTTAAACAAAATTACTGTTCTATCAGAATCTTAGAAATCAAAAAGAAGCATATACAAAAAAACAAGATTTTTTTTTTTTTTAAATCACAGGCATCACAGTATTTTTAATACTGAAGATTGGAAACAAATGTTCAACACATTTATAAAATCATAAATACATGATCTGACTTTAAAAAAATATGTTAATATATACATTAGATATGAAGAACTGTCAAACTGTTGTTAATGGTTTTCTGGAAGGGGCTGAGGATTCCTGAAGACTTACATTTGTGTATATTTTTACAGTGCTTGAGTTTGTCTATAAGCATTATAATTTTTAATTTAGAAACAAACAAACAAAAAAAGGTATTTTTGGAATAGAAAACTAGCCTATTTGCAGTGAGCCAAGATGGTGCCACTGCACTCCAGCCTGGTGACAGAGCAAGACTCTATCTCAAAAAAAAAAAAAAAAAAGTAAATATAAAGGAAAAAACAAATAATACACATTATCATGAATAAGAGTTCTGACCTCATGGACTCTCTACAAAGGTCTCAGTTACCCAGGTATCCAGAGACCACACTTTGAGAACTACTGATACACTGTATGACCAGCACTCTAGAAGCTCATGTACTCTCCCAGTCATCACGCATGTCAGTCATTATCCATCCTGTATCTCCTGTCCCAGGTAACCACTTCTATCACTATTGATTGGTTTTCCTATTTTTGAACTAAGTATAAATGGAATCACATAGTGTATAACCTTTTTAAAAGGCCTTGTTTTCTACTGCATTAATATCTACTCTTAATCTTTATATTTCCCTCTTTCCTTTTTAAAATTCATTTTTTTCATGCAATAGAGCTTTATTGTTTTATCATTTACATATTTGGAAGTATAAATCCTCCATGTTTTATCCTTTTCTTCAATATTTTCTTTTCTTTTTTTGAGACAGAGTCTTGCTTTGTCGCCTAGGCTGGAGTGCAATGGTGCGATCTCAGGTCACTGCAACCTCCGTCTCCCAGGTTCAAGCGATTGTCCTGCCTCAGCCTCCCAAGTAGTTGGGATTACAGGTGCGCGCCACCATGCCTGGCTAATTTTTGTTATTTTTAGTAGAGACAGGGTTTCACTATGTTGGTCATGCTGGTCTCAAACTCCTGACCTCATGATCTACCCCCACCTCAGCCTCCCAAAGTGCTGGGACTACAGCCACTGCACCCAGCCTTCAATATTTTCTTTAGCTAACTTTAGTCATTTGGATTCTCATTTTTGTTTTACTATCAGCTTATTTTTCATCCATCTCCTCTCTTCCCACAAAGAACATCTGGACTGGAATCACATTAAATTTGTATAGCAACTCTGGAAAAACTGACTTCTTTACAATAGTCTTCTGCATGAAAATTATATAATCTATTTATTTATGTCGTTTTCTTTCAGTAATTTTTGTAGTGTTCTGTGTAGAGTTCATCTTTCATTTAAGTCAAGGTATTCGATGTTTCTGAATGCTAACTTAAGTGTTACCTTTCACATTTTATTTTCAAACTATCTGTGGCTAGTAGGCAGAAATAAAATTGATTTCTGAAGAGAATTCGCTAAATTCACTTATTAATTTTAAGGCTTTATCCACAGATTCTGTTCAATTTTTGATCATCAGTGGCAACTTTGTCTTTCAAAACTTTATGCTTTTTATTTCTTGTTTGTAACTTCTAACCGGTAAGGACCTCCAACACAATGTCAAATAAAAGTGCTGACAGCAAACATCTTTCTCTTCTTCCATACCTCAAAGAGAAAGTTTTCAGTATTTCACCATTTAATATAGCATTTGCTATATGCTTTGTAGATATTCTTTATCACACTGAAAAAAATTTCCACCTATTTACAGCTTTCTAAGGGTTTTATTAAGTCATGACCTCTGAGTATGCCTTTGTAATAATCCGCATAAAATGTGGAGTATACATGTAGCACTTCTAACTACAAACAGAAGAACAGCAGCAATAGATTTCCTAGTGCTAGACCTAGCCTGCATTTCTAGAATACAACTGTGTGTGTGATGTTCTTTTTTATGTATTGCTGGATTAAATTAGACAACATTTTGTTTAAGATTTTAACACCTATGCTCATGAGACAGGCTGAAAATTTCCTTTCTTGTAAAGTTTTTTTCAGGTTTTGCTACTTAGGCTATGATGGTTTCATAATATAAATTGGGACATGTTACCTCTTTTTAAAAATTCTCTTGAAGTGTTTATACAAGATAAATGTTATTTTTTCATTACATAATTACAAGAATTCCTTGAAGTTTGCTGGGCCTGAAGTCTTCTATAAACAAATATTTTTAATTACGGGTTTAATATATACAAAAGTATTAACGTTTTCTATTTATTCTTGTGCCAGTTTTGATAAGTCATTTTTTATGATTTTGTCTATTTCATCTAAAATTTCAACTTTATTTACGTAAGATGTTCATATCTATCCTTCCATTATCTTTTTAATTCTGTAGAATCCATATAGCTCCTTTTTTCATTCCAGATATTAGCAAATTGTATTTCTCTTTCATCAACTTTAATAGTACCTTTCTGTTGTTTCATTTTTGAAAGCTTTTTATTGCTATATCTCCAAATTTACTAATCTTTCCTTCTGTTTAGTCTGTTATTAATCCCATCTAGTGTAGTTTTCAACTCAGACACTGCAATTTTTATCTCTAGGAGTTTGCTTTGGGTTTATATTCCACCTGTCTACACAGATTGTTCAATGTGTCTTTTAGCTTCTCCATGAAATACAGATATAACTGCTTTAATGTCCTTTTCTAAGCTAATTCCATCATCTCTATCATTTCTGGGTCAGTTGTGACTTTTTCCTCATTATGGGTTGTTTACTGTAAAAAAGTAAAGAACATTAGTGACCTTTGGGGACAGTTTCAAGTAAACTAATAAATGTATAAGTTGCTGGTGGCAATCCAGATCTACGCAAAGAAATAAAGAATACCAGAAATGGTAACTATGTGGGTAAATGTAAAGCCATTTTTTTTTTCTGATTTAATTCTCTTGAAATGGTAATTGACTGTTTAAAGCAAAAATAACAAATATGTATTGTGGGTTTCTATCATAGACAGAAAAAAATGGGAGCATACAGTAATAAAGTTCTTATACATGATACAGTATAGTATCTTCATATTTTTAGTAGAGATGGGTTTTTGCCATGTTGGCCAGGCATGTCTTGAATACCTGGCCTCAAGTGATTCACCCGCCTCAGCCTCCCAAAGTGCTGGTATTAAAGGGGTGAGCCACCACACCCAGCCCAAATACTGTATATCTTTAAATGAGGTTGTTTGTTGTTTTGATTTGGTCTGCATGTTCTGAGTTACAGAAAGGCATGCTTAAATACATTACCATGATCTTCTTTATTCCTTTTTCCTCTCCTCCTGCACACTAAAAACAACCTTGTTTGACCTTTTCCCCATGTCCCATTTACCTCAAGTTTTTCTGAATTTTCCATCTTTTCTTCTCTCTGTGCTTCCATCTGCACGTTTTCTATAGACCTATTTTCCAGTTCATTAAATTTCTCCGCTGATGTGCCTGATCTGCTATTAATCCCATCTGCCAGGTTTAATCAAGTTTCCTCTTGATTCTTCCATATAAATTCCAATTCTCTGGTAAATTTTCTATAACTCATCTATTTTCTTGACCATATCAGTTATAGTTATTTTGCGATCAATGTTTATACTGTCTCCCCACAACTGCATATTTACTTATTTCAAACTCTCTCTCCTAGCACACCTGGAAATTTTGACTGAATGCTACACCTTACACTTATGGAAAATTACAGAAGCTCTGGATGATGTTATCTTCCTCCAGAGAGAATTCCGTTTTCTTTCGGCAGAAAGAATATTAGCATACCACTCTAGTAACTGTTGAGGCTGATCTATCTTGGCTTGCACTTACTCTTAGAACAAAATTCTTCTCAGATATCAAGCTGAAAGCCTACGGTGTATTACCATGGCTCTCTCCTCCTTTGAAGACCATAAACTACAATATTTGTCCCTCCTGTTCTGTGAGAGTGTTGAATTTTGGCTAGCGAAAAACTACTTTGTGTCTGAGCCCTAGCATACACAATTAGGAGTTGGCAAATGCCTTAAGTGGATACTGCTTACAAAAAGTTGAACTCAGCCGGGTGTGGTGGCTCACACCTGTAATGCCAGCACTTTGGGAGGCCAAGGCGGGCAGATTACCCGAGGTCAGGAGTTTTGAGACCAGCGTGGCCAACATGGTGAAACCCCATCTCTACTGAAAATACAAAAATTAGCCAGGCGCAGAGGTGGGCATCTGTAAAGCTACTTGGGAGGCTGAGGCAAACAATTGCTAGAAACCGGGAGGCGGAGGTTGCAGTGAGTCAAGATCGCACCACTGCACTCCAGTCTGGGCGACAGAGTGAGATCCTGTCTCAAAAAAAAAAAAAGTTGAATTAACCCGAGATTCCTCAGGATCTCGGCTCTGCAAGCCCTGGCTGTTCGGTAACTCCAAACTCCAATTTTTGTCTCCCTGGTTTAATGAGTGCTCTATGCTACTGCTCCCTGTGTAGCCCCCCTACGCCATGCACTGAGAATTGGGAAATGTACCAAAGGAAAATGTACAAAGCTTATCTCAATGTGTTTACCTCTTCTCTGGGCTCCTGACCCCTGAAGTCCTGGCTGTCTTAGTTTCCAACACCTCCTTCTTCTTCTTTTTTAATCAAAGAGGTGGTAGGGAGGGGTGTGTGGCTATGTCTGTCTGGTATTTTACACAGATAGGCAGAAAGGATAATCTAATACTAGTAGTCTGTCATATCTGGATGCAGAAATCCAAAACCTCCAGTTCCTTTGACATCCACATTATTTGGTCATAAAGTCCCAGCATTACTACTTCCTAATTGTTTCCTAGTAACCACACTATCATCTATGTTTAGGTCCTCATCACCACTTAGACTACTGCACAGAGCAGTATTAGGTATTTCTGATTCTAACCCATCCACTTCACCAGAAATTCTTATCTAGCTGGTCACCATTAGAGATCATTCTTTAAAGTACATATTTCTGGGCCCTACTCATCATGACACAATAACTGATTTGGTAGAACTGCAATGGAATCCTGGGATTACCACCACTACCACGACCCACCCCCCACCACCCTCCACCCCCCAACTGCCCCATAAATCCTCTAAGTGACTGTGATGTAATGATTTCAGATTGCCACGTGGGAAGAATCATTCCTCTATGCCTAGGCTGCCAGTTTCCTTTCTGAACTGGAAATTTGAATTATGTCACTCTGATTATAATCTGTCGTCTCTTTAATCATTATCTTTCTACAAGTAAAAGGATCCTAGGAGTGCCATGTTAGTGCAATGGTGTATGTGTATGCGTTCACATTTACGTGTGCGCGTGAAGTGAGAGAATGAAAGTCAGAGAGAGGGAGAGAGAAAAAGAGGGTGAAATCTAGAGGGAGAAAATGAAAACAAGACTGAAAGAGAATCTAAGCGTAAGTATGGGAGATGTATGGCTCTGGAGTACTCATGGTCTAGTAGGTAAGAAAACAGATGAACAAAACTGGATTCATGAACCTCCCAGAACCTTTTTAGCGTTTTGAGATGTAACGTTAAGAAACTGTCTTATAAAGAAGAGACAGATATATACCTGTATCCCACTAGGTATATAATGACCCATCACAAAGTTGTGACTCAACATCAAAATGTAGCAAACAACCATATACTGTTCCTGGCTATATTCCTAGACTTGAATATCATGAAAATAGGTAGACCACCATCCCAGTGAACTCTATGAGGCTGTCCAATTATTATTTTACTTGACTGTTAACTCATCAGAATTTGACAATCTTTTTTTCAACCGCATATTTGGAGAGGTAATTAATGATTTTGAAACAAACTGATTCAATAAAATGCTGGCTCACAAATTCTACCAATGGGAACTGAGAGAGCCAAGAATTTTTAAACAAGTATAGAACTTCTCAATAAGCACCTTCTAATTTCTCCTGAGAGGTATTTTGTTCTAATTTGTGCATACCTCAAAACATTCTGAATTTAGCCTTCAAGCTACCATGTATAGGGTAAACAAATATATATAATCTTTAAACTGAACCATACAGGATTCTATCATTACTACAAAGGCAAATTAAATGTACTACTCAATGACATTTCAATAATGTTTAAAAAAATGAAATTACTTTGTTAGTCACAGTGTTGATTGCCAGAGTTGGAGAGGCACTTCCCGAAATAATACACTCCATTCCCAAAGAATCTGAATCTATGCTATATGGAGTTGAGGCCTAAAATATAAGAACAAAATAAATAATTATTAGCTCATATATCCAGCAACTTTAACACAGTTTGAAGGGATCTCATCAAATTCTCGAACATTCAGTTTTGTGCTTTGTTTCTGAAAATGAATTTAAATCACTAGTGAAATCTATTCTACTATATTTTAGTATGCTACTGAACTGATACTACAAAGTCCTTTGGTGTGGCTACTCTCTAACAACTCTTTTAATTGACTGCGAGATAGGCTGACAAAAATTATAAATAAACTTCTGTAGTGAAAACTGCTAATGATCCCCTAATATTCATTCTCCCCTCATCCTTTACAGTAATAGATCTTTACAGTATCTACTCATGTCTGCCCAGCCACAGACTACCTTTCCAGATTCATGAGCTACTTGTGGCCATGTGACTACAGTGTAACCAATGGGATGTGAGCAGGAGTGATGTGTGCCACTTCTGGGTCATGCCTTTGAAAGAAACCTGCTTGCCCACCATTCATTGTTCCTCTCTTATTGCAGATTTAAGACAGATATGGTGGTGGTGATCTTGCTTAACCATAAATAGCTGAGGGTAATACCCTAGGAAAATACCGGAAAAACAGGATTAGAAGGAACCTCAACATCTGAATGACCTTGTCGAACAGAGCTGTTTATATCTCTGACCCACCCATCAGCTTGGGCTTCTACCTGACAGAGAAATAAATCTCTCTGGTTTAAGCCAGTTATAGATTTTTTAAACTTTTGCTATTTTTTTTATTGATACATATTAGATGTACATATTTTCAGGATACATGTGATAATTTAATCCATTCATACAATCAAATGAAAAATTTGATATCCTCAAACTTTATCTATCTTTTGTTTATACTGGGAATACTCCAATTATTCTCTTCTTAGCTATTTTGAAATATACAATCAATTAATGCTAACTACAGCCACCCTACTGATTTATCAGACATCTGGTCTTACTTCTTCCCCTTCTTCTTTTTTGGGATGGAGTCTCGCTCTGTTACTCAGGCTGGAGTGCAGTGGTGCAATCTTGGCTCACTGCAACCTCCACCTCCCGTGCTCAAGTGATTCTCCTGCCTCAGCCTCCCGAGTAGCTGAGATTACAGGTGTGTGTCACCACGCCTGGCTCATTTTTGTATTTTTAGTAGAGACAGGGTTCACCATGTTGGCCAGGCTGGTCTCGAACTCCTGACCTAAAGTGATCCACCTGCCTCAGCCTCCCAAAGTACTGGGATTACAGGCGTGAGTCATCACGCCCAGCCAGTTCTTATTTCTTCTATCTAAGTGTATACTCATATCCATTAATCAACCTGTCTTCATCTCCCTTCCCCCTACCCTTCCTGGCCTCTGGTAATCACCAATCTATTTTCTATCTTCATGAAATCCACTTTTTTAGCTACCACATATGAATGAGAATATGCAATATTTGTCTTTCTGTGAGTGTACATCAGTTATAGTTTTATTTTTCTTCCTTTGCTAGAGCAACTGAATGATCTCCTAAATATACTTCATATGTACTGCTTAGAGTTAACCTGGGTGTCAAAAACAATACAGTTTTCTGCTATTGGAAATTTTGAATATATACATTGTGATAACTCCTCTCTCTCTCCTAAGAAATATTTTTTATTGCTTTATTGAGCCCTCAAAAGTTCAACTTCAATAGTAAATGTTAAAGAGGGGCAAAGAGAAATAATTTATGGTTATGACGCTAGTTGCATATATATTCTCTCTCTGGTAAAAACTCTTTGTCCCACACATGATCCTAACTGTACATGCATTTTTAAAAGATCATACCAGATGAGTGAGAGAGCAATTGCACCAAGACACATTTCTGAAATTAACCTATCCTTTAATCCCTTAGCATTTTTCTCATCAGAAAATCTAATCAACCTTTGGGCAGAGAATAGGGGTCTTGATTGAGAAAGACCAGAGCTACCCCTACAAGCTAGAATCCAGCACTTAGGTCCCAGGTACACACTGAGAGCAAGGTGAAATAGAAGAGCTATTAAAAACAACTCTATTTATGCCTCAGTTTTAGTGCCAGCCAACCAAGCTATAATTAAGTTAACACATAAGATTACTTTAGAAAGGTACAAATCTCATATTCCCTTAACTCAACTCAGTCATCTCAGTCTGAACTACTGGTTCACTAATTCTCATTATTCCCTTCTGGTAGGATAAGGGAAAGTTGTATTATGTGATGTCATGCAAATTACTTGAACTTTATGCTTGTTTTCTCATCTATAAAAAGAGGATTATGATACTACCTTTAGAGGTCTGTTAAGAACATCAATAAAATATTTCATGTAAAGCACTTAGCATGGTAACTGAAACACACAGTAAGTGCTGGCTACTATGATGACCACTAGAATATATCTGCTACTGATGCCAAGGACCTGCTGATACAAAGAAATACTCATCCCGCAACAAAATACTAGCAAATCATATTCAACAGTTCAGTAAAAGGATCATGCACCATGATCAAGTGGGATTTATCCCTGGGATGTAAGGCTGATTCAATAGACATGCATCAATAAATGTGATTCACCATATTACAAGAATCAAAGACAAAAAGAATGAAGGATCATCCCAAAGATACTTTAAAAAGCATTGGACAAAATACAATATCCTTTCATGACAAAAATGCTCAACAAATAGGGTATAGAAAGAACATTACTCAACACAATAAAGGTCATATATAAGAAGTCTATAGCTAACACCATACTCAATGGTGAAAAGTTAAAGGCTTTTCCTCTTAAGACCAGGAACGAGACAAGGATGCCCACTGTCACCATTTCTATTCAACATAGTACTGGATGGCCAAGCCAAAGCAATTAGGCAAGAGAAGGAACTAGAGATGCTCCTTGACTTATGACGGGCTTATGTCCCAATAAACCCATCATAAACTGAAAATACCATAAACCAAAAATGCATTTACTGTACGTAACCTACTGAACATCACAGCTCAGCCTAACCTACCTTAAACACGTTCAGAACACTTACATTAAGCCACACATGAGCAAAAGCATCTATTTTAGAATAAAGTGTTGAATATCTCACGTAATTTATTGAATACTGTATTGAAGGTGAAAACCAGAATGGTTGTACAGGTACTTGAAGTACTGTTGCTACTGAATATGTATTGCTTTTGCACCATCAGAAAGTCAAAAAAATGTAAGCCAAAACATTCTCTAAGTCAGGTACTATCTACAAAAGGCATCCAAATAGGAAACAATGAAGTCAAACTGTCTCTGCTGATGACATGCTCTTATATAGAGAAAATCCTAAACACTTCAACAAAAACAGAACAGTATTCAGTAAAGTTGTAAACAAATTCAGTAAAGTTGCAGGACACAAGATTAACCTCTAAAAATCAGTAGCATTTCTATACACTAACAACAAACTATCTAAAAAAGCTATTAAGAAAACAATTCATTTTTTCTTTCTCCAAGATGGTAGATTAAAGGGATTAACATAACCCTCCCACTTGGAAAAATAAAATCATGTGTAGAAATTCAAGTTGTGAACTTCTTTCCTAGAAGCAACACAGGAACGTAACAGAAAAACTGAAAGAAACCGTAGGCCTTTTGAAAGAATTGGTGGGCAGCAGCCTACACCATGAGGCAGGTAGAAAACTGTGTCTAGCGCTTGAGTGGGAGACAGGTTTCCTCCATGATACATACTCCCACTAGGGAGTCAGGCCAGTGGGAACTGCCTTAACCCTACCCAGGTATAAAATACCTTAACCCAATCCAGGCCACAGGAGAATGCCTTAATGCTACCCAGTGCTGGAGCCGACTTAATGAGCAGTGGGGAGAACATGAGGAGAAGCGGCATCAGGACATGCTTTACATCCATTCCCAGACTCCAGCAGGCCTGGAGGGAAGCCATTCCTGATCCTATCTCAGGGAAGACTGCCAGCTAATTCAGGCAGAGGTCACAGGTTGAGAGATGCTCCCAACTGAGACTCGTGATATAATCTTGAGTGCAGATGGACCCCCTTGGCCAGAACAGAGGGGCAAGTGAGAAGTGTGCTATAGCCACAAGTGCAGGAGCTGGGTGTCCCTGCTTTGCAGGCAGACCTGGAGGGATATGGCCTGAAAACTGTGGTTTCTGTCTTGGCTGGGAAGGCTTATAGCCTGGGGCAGTTCTGAGTTCTAACTGCTGGCTGCCTGCAACCCAACTGGCTGCTGCTAGCAGAACACTGTGTATGAGACCTTTCTTGCCAAGTCCGTGGGAGCTGAGTGGGCCTTACTGCCATTTGCTACACCCGATGCCCCATGCGGATTATTCTGTGCATCAGAGGCAGCTGTGCTCCATCTACCCTGTAACACTATCCTGACAGCCACGGAACTGCCCTCTGACCCCTACTGGGGCCACTGCTTGCGCCCACATGTCAAGAGCCAGAGTGCAGACTTGCCTGACTCGGCCCCCATCTGGCTTTGTCCCTTCACTAGCCCTGGCAGCATAACACAACAGACTGGGACTTTGGGAAGCCCATAGCCCCACCTATTACCTGAGACACCAGAGTATCTTGGGTAACATAAGGCAAGCACAAATCCCACCACTACCACCACAGTTGGTGTTATTTTGCAAGCATCACCTCTTGAGGCCAACCAGCACAGCCCATTACAACATCTGCAGGGACAATAACACCACCCTCAGGAAGGAGAAATTTTTTGCATGACCTCAGCTATCGTCATTGCCTGTATCACCCTGGCTAACCAGAAGATCTTGAGTCTGTCCACGTGCCCAGTACATTACTACTACAGTTGGCATCTGAGAAAGCCAACACAAGCTGGCATTTGAGAAAGCCAACACAAATCTCAAGGAGATTTCCTTGAGATAACCAAGGAAATCTCATAGTCTACGTAACTCCCTTCCCACCCCCATCAGAGCTGGTGCTGGTACCCGCTGCCGGGAGACTGGAGGACAGGTCACATCACTGAATCCCTTGCACACATTCCCCAGCACCAGCCTGGAGTGTGGCAACCCCACTG